CGTTTATACTATCTAAAATTGGAAACCCTCTTTTCGTTTTTATTTATTTTGCATAAATAAATTCGAACCCTTTGGTTTTGTACCAAATTTTGCGATTCGAATTATTTTAGCTAAAATTATAAATCCCTGTTTTTGTTGATATATATATTATTTATTTAAATTTATGGACTTACTTCCACCTACAGTTGTAACTAAGGTGAAAATAAAGGATCATATCGTCTAGGATTTGTGTAGCCTATGAATTATATATATATATATATATATATATATATATATATATATATATATATATATATATATATATATATATATATATACATACATAAACTCATTTTAAAAGGAAAATAATTTTTTTTGTAAGTATAAACAAAATCCTCCTACTTCATTTTTTCGCCCAAACTTTTGTAGTAAAGTTTATTTGGTTAGTAAATGTTAAATGGAAATTAATTAAAATCTATTAATTGGTAATATTGCATAATTGGTAATAATATGTATGGTATTATATTCTATAATATAATTGATAATATTATTGTTTAAGTATAATAAACCCTATGTAATAATGTAATATTAAAATAAAATTACAATAATAATGTTGGTCCTGGTAGGGTCGAAAGAGAGTATAGAGGGGGCGGGAGGGGGGGGGGGTGGTGAATAGACTCTGCTCGAATTTTGAAAATAATTCCTTTTTCGGAAGTTATGCGCAGCGGAAAAATGTATTTTTGTTTTAGATTAAACTTTGCACAATTTAGTTACGAAAAAACTTAGGGTTTGGCAGTATGAATGCAATGTCAAATAGATAGGTAAACGAAAGTAAGGAGAGAGTGAGAGAGAGATTTTTATAGTGGTTCGGCTATTAACAAAGTCTACTCCACTCTTCTTCCACAACACGTAAAAGGGTTTGCTCTATTACTCCTAGTACAAACTAAACAAGCTAGCATCCTTGATCACTAAGCCGGACAACTAATGTGTAGGTTTTTCAAATCCTCGAGTTTACTCCGCCTCTATCAACGTCGTCTTCAGAGTTGAGGGTTGGAAAGTATTGATGATGTTTTCCAACGTGTGAAACCTTGACTTGATAAGCTTGAATCTTCGATTATAAAATGCAAGCCTTCCTTGTGTTGTGAGAGGTTGAAGTCTAGATAAACTCTTAAAAATAACCTTCACAACAACACACTGGTTTGAAAGCTTTTTGGATAGCACTTGTTAACAAAGCTTTTGTAGATGAAGATTGAGTGAAAACCAGCATCTTCTTTAGTTGTGAAGAGGGGTATTTATAGGTGAGGGAAAATTCATCCTTTGGAGGGCGATGAAAATTCGAACCTATTATCCAACGTGTAATAACCACGGGATATGAAGCATTTAATTCGGCTGTACTGTGTAGCCGTTGATGGCAAAACTGATTTGTCCTTTTGTCTTTTTTCACTGACAAAGGTACCGATCATTTAATGCTTCTTGGTATTTGTGAATTTCATTCCTAGGACTCCTTTTGTCTTGGATGATTGCCCAGCTGTGAGACATAGACAAACATTCTTCTTGTTTACGTGTAGAAATTGTCTATTCAAGTCTGACTTAGACTTTCTGTCTCTAGATCGAAAGATTGTCCTTATCTTTCGTCTTACTTTTAAGTCAAATGATCTTTCTTATCATTTGACATTTACACGAGAGTTAGACCCTTCCATGTTTCGGTCTAAGTTGTTCTTTCGGTCTTCTCTTGATCTTCTCTTGATCTTCTTTTTTTCTTGTAGATCAGACCTAATTGACTAAATACAACTCTGATTTGTGTAGATATGCTACTAAGCACGAATCACATGGTGAGTTGTGACTACTTTCGTTTAACACAAAAGATGCAAAATAACGAGAGTTAAAAGAGGGGTCTACTTTTCCTAGTAACTTTGGTATCATCAAAATATAAATACATCTGTTACTAACAATTAAAGCCTATGTATTTAATGCATATTTTATTATAGAATATAATACCATACATAATATTACCAATTGTGCAATATTACCAATTAATAGATTTTAGTTAATTTACATTTTACATTTCTTTACCAAATAAGCTTCATTAATTATTTGGGCGGGAAAATAAAATAGGAGGATTTTGATATATATATATATATATATATATATATATAGATACATATTTATTGGTAAAAGAATTAATAAAGCTTAATATATATATATATAATTAATTTCTTTTTATTACTCTAATGATAATCCCTCATTAATTAGGAAATCTTAAATTTAGAGTCCAACATTGGTTTGAATAGCAATTCGCAATGAGGAGGAGAGGGAGAATACAATTTTCCTTTAAATACAACTCTAGCTATTTTGAGACGGTCTTCTTGAAACCCCTAAAACTCCTCCAAACACTCAATTCCAGCTTCTGAATCACGACAAGTCTCTCTTTGTAATGACCATAACGCAAGAAGATAATATGCCCAACATTTCCCGTTTAAGTAGAAGAGAATGTGAATAACACAATGCATTGTGAAAGGATTACATAATTTAGGAAAATCATGAAATGGCTTTTCACAAATACACGAATGCATTTAAAATTAAAAAAAGGAACTTATCCAACTGTAGGATTCATCTGATTAAAAGGCCGTGTTAAGATGCGTACTAATCAAACATGTAATATGAACCAAACTGCGACAATAATATATTATTCTTGAGACAAAAACCACAACTTATATATATATATTTTACTTGTAAGACTAGGAATGTATCCTAAAACAAACAAAAATATTTGAAAAGATTTGAAATACAATTTTTAAGAGTAGAACATAATTCATATATTTAAATGTCATTAATTCAATTTTTGTTAACACTCCCTTCTCCGAAGTCGTGACATACACTCTTCGTTGTGCAGTTTATCTCTAATGTGTAATTTGCATTCAATTACAAAGGAATAAAATTTAATTGCTGAATTTACTCAATATACACCCTCAAATAATGAATCTATAAATTTCTTTCGTCACCAAAAAAATAAAAAATTAATGCAATAGTTAAAGTTAGGACAAAAAAAGGAAACTAGTAGGGTCACAAAATATAAATATTTGCAACTAAATGTAAATTTAAAAATCATTTATATGAACCTTAAAAAAATCATATAATACTCCAATAGCACACGACTCACGCACATTAAGCACAAAACTCAAGCACATTAAGCATAAAACTCATGCACTTTAAAGTTTCTACAACAACTCACATTAAGTACACACTCACGCACATTAAGCACAAAACTCACGCACATTACGCACAAAACTCACGCACATATCAAAATTCCTCTAGATTGTCCACTTTAGCACAGCTGGGGGTTGTCGCTCCCCCTGAAGATAACAATCTTCTAAGCCTACGCATCCCAATTTTAGGCAGAGACTTAGTGAACATATATGCAAGATTGTTCAGTGGGGCAAACATTCTCAACAAAAATTTTACAACTCTTCTAAAGTTCATGTGTGTAGAAGGACTTAGGTGCAACATGTTTTGTAAGGTTCCCCTTAACAAAACTATTACTTGCTTGTGCAACACAATCTTATTTGTCCTCATATGGGACATTGGGGGTAAAAATATAACATAACCAGTTTTGGACTTGGCATCAAAGGGATCAAATAAAAGAACCAGTGCTCAAGTAGCCCATCAAGACCACATATGGGTTTCTCACATAAACGTCAAAACACTACAAGAAAAATGCACATAGACAACGGTTAATAACCGTTGTCGTAGGGGTATAATTTCTGTTGTTGAAGCCGGTGTTGTTGTAAGTCCCGCGCATAGACAACGGTTTTTTAACCGTTGTCTATTCTAGAAACAACAACGGTTTTTTAACCGTTGTCTATTAAGTGTTGTTGAAGCCGGTGTTGTCTTAAGTCACGCACATAGACAACGGTTAATAACCGTTGTCTTTTCTAGAAACAACAACGGTTTTTTAACCGTTGTCTATTAAGTGTTGTTGAAGTCGGTGTTGTTGTATGTCACGCACATAGACAACGGTTAATAACCGTTGTCTTTTCTAGAAACAACAACGGTTTTTTAACCGTTGTCTATTAAGTGTTGTTGAAGCTGGTGTTGTTGTAAGTCACGCACATAGACAACGGTTAATAACCGTTGTCTTTTCTAGAAACGACAACGGTTTTTTAACTGTTGTCTATTAAGTGTTGTTGAAACCGGTGTTGTTAAACGTCACGCATATAGACAACGGTTAATAACCGTTGTCTTTTCTAGAAACGACAACGGTTTTTTAACCGTTGTCTATTAAGTGTTGTTGAAACCGGTGTTGTTAAAAGTCACGAACATAGACAACGGTTTTAAACCGTTGTCGTTTCTTCCAAAGACAACGGTTTTTGACCCGTTGTCAATTCAATGTTGTTGAAACCGGTGTTGTTAAAAGTGATGCACATAGACAACGGTTTTTAACTGTTGTCTTTTCTTTAAAAGACAACAGTTATAAACTGTTGTCTATTGTGTGTTATTGAAATCGCTGTTGTTAAAAGTCACACCCATAAACTGTTGTCTTTTGTAGAAAAGACAACAGTCTCAAACTGTTGTCTTTTGTAAAAAAGACAACAGTTTCAAACTGTTGTCTATTGTAAAATAGACAACTTTTAACCGTTGTCTCAACCCGTTTTTAACCTGCTTAAATTTCAATTATATAAAAAAAAAAACAATTTATCCATTCACCATGGCCAAGTGTAGTTACATTGCACAAGCTAAGCAAGGTTCATAATAACAAGTCTAAATACTGAGCATGACCAATTCTAATCAAATCATCATCCAAGTCATAATACTACAAAAAACAATTCCGATCCACAAACCAAGTCTAAATGATCACAACGTCAAATCATACCTACTCTATATAACTTGATAGAATATCGGCCCATTCTGAACGCACCAGATCAATAACCGCTTTGTCATAATCAACTTGTTGGAACTACATGTATTGATATCCGGGTGATAATATCCATACACAACTCCTGGAGCACAAGGAGAATAGTTAACAAGAATTGATATCCGGGTGATAATATCCATATGAGTAGTTGATGAGCTGGCTTGTTTAGATGACAATCTGACTATAATAGGAACTGTGGCTAACGCAAGACTTGGCAATTTTGATTCCATACAAATCACAAAGATGCCAGCTAAAGATGTTGTGCCTCCTAGGTGATAAAATAAGTTTCTATACAAATGAGGCAGTTAAGGTGCAAAGCCAGAAGATAGATTGATAAGAAAGCAAAAACTGAATAACACAACTTACTTGTGTTGTCCTTTGTAACAAGAGACTTGTCATGGAGGTTTCCTTCTCCATTTTGAACTTAAGCTTGTATTTAAAGCACAATAGTGAATGTTTTTGTAAAGTTTTAATACAAGAGTTACAAGAGTTTGCAAAGAATAATTACATAAGTTAGAAATTTAACTTTTAATACAAGAGTTTGCAAAGTTCACTAGTATTTATACCTTAAAGCTTCCCCCTTTTCACTAGCTACTTACTCCTCTTGGCATTCAAGCACAATAGTGAATGTTTTTCTGTCCTGGCATAATACTCGAGTTATCAGAATTCATGTGTGCTTATATATATAAAAAAAAAAAAAAACATATAACTAGTAATTGCTAAGACTAGAGATGACATAGGTAATAAATGCAAAGCATGTTAACAATCAAGTGAATCAACAACATTAAAAACATATGGATAATAAAACTCTCCTTACATGTTTTTGAAGTTTCTTCAGCTTGGTATTGAGTTCTTCTAACACCTTGGTATGTCTGTCATCTTCTCTTAACTGAAAGGACCCTGATAAATAAGTACACTCTCTTCTTACCTGTAAGATCATGAATAGAATTTTCACATCAAGCTTGGGCATGAGAGCTCGTCACAGTTTTAGACTAAGTATTTCTCACAAAACTTTCCACTTTGGACTATCCCAATAAGATTGATATCTAGTAAACATTTGTTTGTCGCAATAACTTGAGCCAAACAGACACTAAATGATCCAGTTTTAGTGAACTTAATTAATTAAATATTTTTTGTTCAATCATCTCAAAGGGTAATTTATGCATTTATGCATATAACGTAATACTCAAAATTTTAAAATTTACAAATTTCTCCCCATGGAGTGAAATGGCAAAACCCGAGGCTGAAAAGTAGTAATTCAAGTTGAAGTGGTTTAAAAAACTAAATATAAAAAATACCTCATTCTCAAGCTGGAGACAAGCAATTTTTTCTGTCAGCTGTGAGTGCTTTACAGAGTATTTTACAGTGGGATCCAAATATGTGTAGCTAATCAAAAGATGGTAGCATAAGCCACCAATCAATAACCACGCAGATCCTAGATTTCGCATAAAATCTACAATATAGAGAGCAAATAAAAGAAAGAACATTAGTTCTAATGAAATGAAGCACCAGCCATGACCACTAAAAAGAACGTATTATCAATTGAAGATTTTAAATTAAGCCTGACCAAAAAAATGTATTTACCACTTGATAAACAAGGGAGATAAAGGAAACGCAGCAATGGCTTAATTAAGGGACTGATCAATTTTTTAAAATGTTCATGTTTCGAGGACTTAAGGAGGGAAATCATGACCGTCACATCATTTTCCTGAAACATAGAAGAAGCATGTTGGAGTTATAAGTGGATAATTGCTAAGGATATTGTGGTTATAAATCAAGAGTTTGATAAATAAGTTTATGTTTTTCACTAGAATAACAATAGTCAAAATCACAATATTGCCCTTAACATAGAATTCTATAAGAATGGATACCGACATACCGTAATCATCTTCCATGAATTACAAGGAAAGAGATACTTGATTTCACTGTACTTGTCATCTTCAAATGAACTTTGGTGAGCACTTACAATCTAGAATCACAGGGAACAGGAATTAAGATGTCATTATAATAGTTACAAAGAGAGAAAGGTGGTATTCAGTCCAACTGAAGGGAGAAAAACCTGTTGGAAAAGGAACCGAGCAGTAGATAAAAGGAATTCAGTTATGCAAACATCCATAGAACCATGCCAAAGGTGGTGTGAAGAAGCTCTATCTACTAATTAGTTCGAGTATTGACACAATATCAACATATTTATCAATGAATTTACACATTTTTAGCATTCCATATGTTTAATTCACCAGGTTACAGAAATACAAAACAGATACATACAACTGCATACCTTTCTCCCAGCAATTTTGCAAACACACAGCTGTAATTTACTAATTTATTAAAATTTTTGTAAGTGTTTGGCCAACTCTATCCTGATTGGTTCAGGATTCTGGATAATCCATCATTTTCACCATGTTCCCAAACACATATTCTTAGCTTAACCAGCCTTACCATCGAATTACAGAGGTAAAAAACTAAAATCACTAAATGATTTTATTTGAAAGAATATGCATAAATTCACAAAATTCACCAAAAGTTACTTTAAAAAATTTTACAAGAGCAACAAAAGCAAAAAAGATGAAAGTTTTAAGCTTACTTCGTCGATTGTGAGTGGCAGGGTGGAGTGATGAAGAAATATGGGCACAAACCGGCCGATTTCCAACTCCGCCGCCACCTCCTCTATCCCTCAGTCGCTAGTTCCGTTGTAGATAGAATAAAAGGAGTAGATCTGAGCGTACTCCCACAACAGCAGCAGATATGAGCGTAGACTCCCACAACAACAACATATCTGAGCACGAAACTCTGAACTGAGAAATAAAAATAGAGAGAAACCTCTGACCGAATCCATTCCAGCAAACAATCTCTCACCGCTGATTGTCCACTCTTGAGCTCCGGCCGAAACATCATCGGCTTTGCTATAGAAACCGACGTTTATGGCCGCTGCTTCCGCATAGAACGCGACCGCGTGCTTTGGGGACTACATCCTCAGAGATTAAAGGCTGAGCAAGAAATTAAAGATCTGAGATTTTGTTTAAATGAGAGTAGAAGGTTTTTGGGTGAGATTAGAGAAGAATCAAGAGAGATGCTAAGGGAAGACTGAGCCGCAGAAAGGAGAGGGCGAAAATGGATAATATTTGGATGAATTTCATAGCTTATTCTCGGCAGAGAGCACTGACTGAGGAGATGGAAAAGTTGCAATGGAGTGTTAGGGAGAAATTGTTTGGGAGGGAATTTTTTCCGCTAATTGTAGGCGTGTGAATTTCTTTTTTTTTTTTTTGTTTGGGAGGGAAACAAAAAAAAAATAAAAAGAATGAAGATATATATATATATATATATATATATATATATATATATATATATATATATATATATATATATATATATATATATATATATATATATATATATATATATATATATGAAGAAGAAGATATATATTTTTATATCTACTATCTACTATACTAATAAGAGCCTAAAAAAGTTAGGTCTATAACGAGTATAAAAAATGTTCGTCAAATTATTGAACTCTATGTTAATAATTATAAAATTCTATGTTCATAATTTTTGAACTTCATATTCACAATTACAGACTTCTATGTTTATAATTATAAAACTTTATGTTCATAATTTTTGAATTTCATATTCACAATTATTGAACTCTATGTTCACAATTACAGAACTTTATGTTCATAATTATAAAACTCTATGCTCATAATTTTTGAACTTCATATTCACAATTATTGAACTCCATATTCACAATTACAGAACTCTATGTTCATAATTATAAAACTCTATATTCATAATTTTTGAATTTCATATTCACAATTATTGAACTCTATGTTCACAATTACAGAATTCTATGTTCATAATTTTTGAATTTCATATTCAACATTTATTGAACTATATGTTCACAATTGCAGAACACTATGTTCATAATTATAAAACTCTATGTTCATAATTTTTTAACTCTATATTCACAATTATGACAGTTTAGGAATCGTGTCCACCTTCCAAGTGACTGGGTTAAGAATTTAGATGTTAGGCATTATAGATTTGAAGTCTGAATTTTAATTTTTAATTGTTAAAAGGTTAATTCTATTCCTATAGAGTTAACTCGTCGAACAAGAAGGAAAGATACCAGGTGCGACAGCAGCGATCTCGGTGGCCAGAGCCCTGGGCATCACAAGGAGCTTTTGGTGAATAATTTTATATTTAAATATGAACGAAAATATAACTATTAAATTAACTTTTGAATTATATTCTTTCTTTGTTAAATTTTTATGCAATATATTTGGACAAAAAATTTTAATTACATTTTTATTCTTGTTAACACTCAGGATATAATAGCTAAAACATAAGGTGTAACAATTTAGTATATAAGAGTTAGTGTGGTTTGGTAGATTTAACTTTGTTTGTTATGTTAAAGGTCTTGGGTTTTATCCTTTGTGGTGGCATCCTTAATCTATTTTATACAATCATTGTCTTGGTTTTCAAAGACAACACATAAGCAAATTGGTTATATTATAGATGTTGCACTTGAGTATATAAGTGTTGGTGTGGCTTGGTGGGTTTAGTTTAGTTTATTATGTTAGAGGTTTTGAGTTTTATTCTTCCTAGGGGGATCCTTCAATTATTTTCTAAAATTGTTGTTTTGGTTTTCACAAACAACACAGAAGCAACCCAGTTATATATCAAATGTTGCACATTTAAACATAAGAGTTTGTGTTGCTTAGTTGGTTAGACCTTATTTGTTAATTTTGAGGTCAAAGGTTCGACTTTTGTTATTAACATCCTTGTTTTTATTTTAATTTATACAACTGTTAAATAATGATGCGCAAAGACAACGGTTTTTATAACTGTTGTCTTTGTAGTGTTGTGTATTCAAATACGCTTAAAGACAACATATCAAAGACAACGGTTAAATAAAACCGTTGTCTTAAACAAATAAAGAACGCGCAACGACAACGGTTATATAAAACCGTTGTCGTTGTAGTGTTGTGTATTCAAGTGCTATTAAAGACAACACATAAATGACAACGGTTAAATAAAACCGTTGTCTTTTAAAAAATAATAATGCGCAAAGACAACGGTTTTAAAAAACCGTTGTCTTTGTAGTGTTGTGTATTCTAGTGCGCTTAAAGACAACACACCAATGACAACGGTTAAATAAAACCGTTGTCTTTTTTAAAAGAAGAGCACACAAAGACAACGGTTTTAAACAACCGTTGTCTTTCTAGTGTTGTGTATTCTAATGCGCTTAAAGACAACACACCAATGACAACGGTTAAAAAAACCGTTGTCTTTTAAAAAAAAAAAACGCACATAGACAACAGTTTTAAAAAATCGTTGTCGTTGTGGTGTTGTCTTTTCACAAAATGCACAAAGACAACACACTTATAACAACGGTTAAGTAAAAACCGTTGTCTTTGACAAAAGTGTTGCATCAAAGACAACGGTTTTGGACCAAACTGTTGTCTTTTATACAAAAGACAACACTTTTCTTAAAAACTGTTGTCTTTCTAGTGTTGTCTATGTGCATTTTTCTTGTAGTGAAAACTTTGTACCTCGAAGGTGCTGGAGGATATGTTAAAATACCATTCCAATTTTCATTGTAGGGGGGAACACTAAATGTTGCTAGCAATTTCATCGCAAATTCAATATCAGGCCTGATGCGATTTTGGAACTAGTTCAATAATAGTGCTCCAATAGTAATGAAGTAATGGACTTCCAGTCCCTAAATATCTTCATTATAATCTTCATGTCTAAATGGTCATTTATCTACTTCAAGAGATTATTGGGCAACCGTTTGTGTAATAAGTAAATACTACTTGTCTATATAAAACATCTTCAAGATATTTTTCAAGTAGGCTAACTGGTGTATAAAACTTCTTCGGCGGAGAAGCCGTTAACCTCCCTAAGAACAACTTTGTCGAGGTCATTCATACCCTTACACACCTCCATTGCTTTCTTCTCGCTACTAGTACCAGCCATCATATCACACAGTAAGTCTCTTACTTTCTACTCCTCTCTTAATAAGCACACCACCTTATGCGATATCTCTCGTTTCGTTGGGGGATAACGGAATCTTTTCCTTTTTATTTTTAGTAGTGCACAGAGGGTAGTGGCGTACCCTCATGCAGTGTACGGAGGCAGCTGGCAGTATGAGCAACGGATCATGCACTCTCTTTCATCTGACGTGGCCCCCAATCGAATATAGGTCTGCATGGATTTTGTGTATGCTCAAGGAGACCGTTTGTCACAACTTTCAAACAAAAATATATATATATTAGTAAGGTTGTCCATTTATTTCAGACTTAGAAATTATATATACTTATTACTTTGACAATGTGTTTTTTTTTTTTTTTGTTAGACCACGAAATATCCTGAGCAGGTCCTAACATTCAATCGTTATACCGTGCACCAAGGCACACATAGCAGTGTGCGCCCCGTCCCTCCCAAAACTACATTATTTAGTTAAGTTGTGTGGGTAATTAACTTGACAAAAATTTATGTGTATTCAGTTATAAAATTCTGTGTTTACAGGTATAAAATTATGTAATTTTGAAACAGGGGATTTTTATCCTTTTAAAAAAGATTATGTATTTTCAGGTATAAAATTATGTGTTTTCAGTTATAAAATTCTGTGTTTACATGTATAAAATTATGTAAATTTGAAACAGGAGATTTTTATCTTTTGAAAAAAGATTATGTGTTTTCAGTTATAAAATACTGTGTTTTCAAGTATAAAATTATGTACATAAACTTTTAACATAATACACATAAATTCCTTGTTTCGGATGTACATAATTGTATAAAAACAAAAATGTACATAATTGTATAAAAAAAATGTACATAATTATATAAACAAATGTACATAATTATATACCATAATGTACATAATCCCCCTGAATTATATGTTTATAGCACATTTTCCCCCTGAATTATCCATGTAAGCATATTAGCCCCCTCAATTATTCTAAACCTTATTAACAATTACTTAACTTAGAAATGAATACTAACAAGCATAATAAATCTACTAATCATCAAAAAGAGGTGTCACCGCCACAATCACCATACTTGGTGATTGCACAGGCAAGGAAAGGTTCTAAACATCCACAAACTTACTACATAAAAACAACTTGGGGATTGAACCCCGGTGTCCAGCACCATCAAAACAACTAAATAAGTCTACAACCAAAGTCTCAAAATAGCATAACTAAAGTAAGAGTTTAGACTACAACTAGCACACTAAGCTAATCTAGTCTAACTCGAACGCTCTCATGACTTGGGCCCACCTGAAAGGGGTTAACGAACAAACAAGTAGAATGCAACCCGTTATCACGAAGCTAAGTATAACGCCACTCAACCTTGTAAAATACCATAGTATATGCTTTTGGAAAACATTTGTTTCACACAATTAGATCAAGCATTCTAAACCACTACTTAAGCTACATTTAAACATACTCAACAGGGTTTCTATATGCTTGCAACCTAATTATCAAATAGGCATACTTTCACAATAATTTAGCTTATCAACAATCTCATGCTTGCACTTACATATCTTATCATGGCGATATACACTAATCATACTCAAATTGTTTTGTTAAGTTGTGTGGGTAATTAACGTGACAAAAATGTATGTGTATTCAGTTATAAAATTCTGTGTTTATAGGTATAAAATTATGTAAATTTGAGACAGGGGATTTTTATGCTTTTAAAAAAGATTATGTATTTTCAGGTATAAAATTATGTGTTTTTAGTTATAAAATTCTGTGTTTTCAGGTATAAAATTCTGTACATTCGAAAAAGGTACAAAACGACGTCGTTTTGGGCCAGGGCTCACAATGCATGGTGCACCCTGGTGCACAGTATAATTTGCCCAATTTATATCGTGCACAGGGGCGCGCATTGCATTTTGCGCCCTGGTGCAAACCGACGTCGTTTTGGAATTTTTTTTTTTCAGAAATCTGCTTCCATTGTGGATGTTAATTTTCTTTTAAAAAAATCTCATGTTTCAAAAATGTACATAATTGTATACTAGAATGCACATAATTGCATAACAAAATACACATACATTTTTTGAAAACATAATACACGTAATCTAACGTGTGAAACCTTGACTTGATAAGCTTGAATCTTCGATTATAAAATGCAAGCCTTCCTTGTGTTGTGAGAGGTTGAAGTCTAGATAAACTCTTAAAAATA